GTTTCTGTGAACAAACACACATCTGAGGGCGGGCTGTTTAAATACAATGACTCTGCATTGTATTGATGTGGTGGCTTTCTCCCTTCGCTGTTAAAAATACTGAAGATCAATAGTTGATAAAATAATTAAATTAGTGCTACCACATTTTTAAATTTAGAAAGTGAAAATCCACACAGTTCAAAAATTGTTTTTGCAAAAGTCCTAATGTGCAAACGAAACATTTAGGTTTGCAATTAGCGCTAGAGCGCTATAGGGGACTAGTGCCCTCCACCCGATATGGGTCACATAAACCAAACCACAACCAGGCATGCTGTGGCATTGACCCATTTGGGCCAGYTCACAAGTGAGCCAGTTGTGACATTGACAGATTTGGGTCACATAAACCAAAACACAAAAAGGCAAGTTGTGGCATGCCTTTTTGAAAACATTGCCATCGTTGCCAAACCTGGCTCACATCAGATTGACAAACCACTTGCCACACCAGCAGTCAGCCAGCAGTGCCAGCTTGACAGCAGGTCTGGCCACACCTGTTTGCTATGTGGGTCAGTTGGAAAGCTGTGTCATGACTCTATGTGCTGTGCATTGAAGAATGGCTGCAAATTAAGCAATTCTGTGAAGGACAGTGGAACAAAATTTCTCTACAGCAATGTGAGAGACGGATCAAATCAAAAAGAAAATGACTAATTCAGTTTCTTGCATTTTAAGATGGTTCTACAAGCAGTTTAATTTATTGTGATTTGTTTTTTTTATAAACTGTTGCTGCTCCTTTGGTGTGCATTGGTTAAACAAATAATGACAGAAAGTAACATGCCATTTATTGGTTTTCATCCAAGGTTCCCTATGCCTTGGTTGAAGAACTAAAATGGCAAAATGATTTCAACGTGACCTTACATTTTGGAGTCTGTTCTTACTCGTAGAAAAAATAATTAAAGTATGTGTTTTAAGTAAAGCATTTGCTACCAACTGCCTCACCCTATTATCCTAATTTACTCATTCGTAAAATGTAAAGCTAAAGGTGCTGCCCCTCATTCTTGTTGGTTCCGCAAGAATGAAAACAACAGTGGTTCCATATTAGACTGTGAAAGTCTAATGAGAAAATATGAGCTCTGCTTCTGCTTCGTACTGCAGCACCCAATTATGCTCACTTATGCTGCGCACTCTGTATAATGGCATAACCATAGTTCTCCCTAAAGGTGCCCCAGCACAATCTGAAAGGCTGTGACACAAATCAATACGTCTCAGAGCTGTCTCCATTGTGTTCTGGCTCAAATTTCTTTCAGAAAATGATGTAAAAGATTATAGATTCAAAGAATGAAAGGGTTTTTYAGTCCTACTTGGCTCCTTTAAAAGAAAAGTTCACATTGTCAGAGCTTTTCACCAGGAAAATGTTTTAAATTTGTGCTCAGTGCTGTGTTGATATTCAGCCCAGCATTCGACCACCTGCCCCAGGCTTGTTAACAAGGTGCCCGTGGCAATGATTGCCTGGCCATCAAACTCCCAGCTGATAAGTTCCTCTGGGAAGGAGAGAGACGAGTTCTGTCATTGAATTTCCCCTGATCGGCTGCTCATGCTGTACATTTGAGATAACACTCAGCCTATCCCAGCCTCACACTGTCTATAATGGCCTCGGTCACGTTTTCTTTTCCTATACAACTTATTCCGTAAAATCTTCACAGCGTGTTTCGCCCAATCTCATGTAACTACTGGATCTATCCTGCTTGGTACATTTTTATCATCTGATGACTCGATTTATAAGGACAATTATAGTGCTGTTGCCTGTCGTCAAGATGGTAGCTGACCAGACACCTGTCAGTTCTAATGTTGCAAGGCCAAGGAAAGAGATTGGCTGATTGATTGAAGTGTGAGTGCACGATGGGTGAGGGACATGGTGACAGGCCTGTGATTGACACAGATGAGAGAGGGGGAAGGAGGTTGGAATGGAGCAGCAATGTAGACAGGATGCTAAAACAAAAGCAGTGGAGGAAAATTTACAAAAATAAATACATGAGGAAGAGACAGGTGGTGAGTGGGAGAGGTGGGGAAAGATTCATGAAAAATAAAAGGCTGCTTAGAGAAAGCGAGGCTAAAAGAAACGACACCGAGGACACAGAGAGGATGCGAATGGGTGAAAGGTATTCCGGGAGGAACCTCCTGGCTTCAGTCATGCCCCACTGAATGTGCTGACAGGGTCTGCTGTCTGCGGCACCAAGAGGAGCAAGTGTCATACACCCAGACAGAGCACACAACACTGCTCAGGATAAAATGAAACTGGCGTTGTGCAATTTATAACACTCAAATTTCACAAACTACACACAAAAACTCCTGTTTTACAAAGTGTGCTACTTTGGTCAACAAGAAAGGAACATTCAGGGAGACACTTTAAAACCATCAAGTCTGTTCTCCACTTAGAGGCTTTAAATGTTTAAATATTTTTTTTGTCCTTACAACTGTGGTGCTGTTGTTGTCTGGTGTCTGCAGCTGCAGTTATCACAAAATATGTGCAGTGCATGGCTTTTAGACCATATTTTGCAAATCATTTTCCCCACAAGTTCATCACAGGGTCGCATAAGTCGTGTTTCCATCAACCTTTTTCTATAAGCATTAGTAAAGGTGAATGGAAACAGCAACATTCGCAAAAACTTCCTCAATTTTGCAAAATGGTTTTTATGTTCGCTTGAGGTGGTTTTTGAATTTTACGAAAAAGAGTCAATGTGAAAAATATCACCTGAAGTTCTGACATAGCGAGCATTTACCTGGATCAGCTGTTCCTACTCTCCAATAATTGTACCGGCTGCAGCTGCAGCTGGACCCTCCTCCTGCTGTCGGCGTCTTGTAACGTGAAGAGAATTGCATTTCTTTTTCTACATTTCCAGACAGCATGTAACATCACCAGTTGATATGACAGAATAATTACAACTTTCTCAATAGTAGCAACACATTCCTGATGACTATTCTCCGTGTCCCGAGATGTGTAGTCCTGCAACTTTGCAACTTTACTTCCTGTTTACTACAACCATGTGTTATGTTTACGTCTGACATAATTATATTTTGCGTAGCCTGGTTGATTCGTTCCAAACCAGTTGATGGAATGTACATCCCAGTTGATGGAATGTACATCTGATCTGCATTACTTTTATTGCAACATTTTAAAAGTTCACTCAAAATTTGCATTAAAATTGGATGGAAACACATCTATTGAGACAAACAAGACAAACAACCATTCACTCTCTCACTCACACCCAGAGACAACTTAGAGTTACCAGTTATTCTAACAGTCAAGTTTTTGGTCCATGGGAGGAAAGCAGAGTACCTGGAGAAAACCCACGCATGCATGGCGAGAACATGCAAACTCTACCCAGAAAGGTCTCCAGGCTGGGATTTGATCTGGTGACCTACTTGCTGAGAAGCATCAGCTTCACCAACTGAGCCATTGTGCCGCCTAAAGCTTAATTGTAAACTTGAAACTGTAAAGCAATTCAAACATAAAGGTGCACAAGGTCAGATTAACCATTTAGGAGCATTCAGCAGGGTGGTTGCTTAGGGGTATAAACTGTTTCAGTCTTTTAGTTGGGAAGTCTTTTAGTCCAGAAGGATTACCTTGACGTTCCTGAGACAAGAACTTTACAGTTCATTTAATGAGGGTAGAGGACAGCCAACTACCTGCTGGGTGACCTTGATGAACCTGTGGAACTCAATCTTCTGTACTGTGCAGCTGGAGAACCATGAGACGGTAGAACCAGCATACTCTCTTCCGTGCAGAAGTAGAAGGACATCCACAGTCTCATAGAGATGTTGATCTTCTGAGAATCCAAGAATTTCCCCGACAACTGTTTACATAAATGCAGGCAATTGTGTTGCCCCAAAATGCTGCATAAACTTACTGAAATGTAGACAACCTGTGGGAACAGGTGGTGTTTAGTTTGCAGCRCAGCTCAAGGTGCATGTCTTGCTTTGCAGGAGTTTTGATAATTAAACAATTACACCAAATTAATAATTCCTTTAGCAAATTCTGACCTCACTGTCCAAGATTTACAGCCCCAAACCTCCTGAACACAGTAAAATAGTTCAAAATGTGTGCTGTTAGATTGTCTCTGCAGAGAAGTACACCAGCTTATATTTAGTTTGTCAAAATAAATGAAAAAGATACTTCTTCAAAATGCAAATATCCAATTTTCTTCAGGAATATCTTTGTTTTATGGGAGCCTCAGAATTTTCAAAGTGTTCAAGTTTTCTGAACGACGATCTGTTTATCTTGTCTCTGCACACATAATGGCAATGAAAGGATTGTTATGTTAATACAATCTGGCAAATAGTCACTTTATTGACTTGTCAGCTGTGTGGGCAGACAGTATTGAGAAATCACTGTAGGATGTCTACTCGTGTTTGAAGACAAGCAAACTGACTGATATCTGACATTTTGATTTGGCTTTGGGTTTTCATTTGTGTCTGGAGTGCACAAGAGACATCCTGAAAGTGAGTGTGATAAATGAGAGCCTGGTAACCTTTTTTTTCTCGCTTGAGGCTCAGTAGGCAACAAAGTCAATCAGCATGAACWGCTCGTATCTGAACTGACATTTTAACCAACTGAATAAAAGATAGTATCAATCTAGCTTATTAATCACACATCACAGTGATTTAGAGATGGCTTTTGTGTCCTAGCTGGTCCCTTTTCTCTTTTGCTCTGCACTGCTGTTCCTCTCATTCATAAGTTTTTTTCTGTGGTACCTTATCTATGTTTCACACAGCAGAATGATGACAAATTTGTGCTTATCTATTTTAGAGATGTAAAGAAAGTAAATTATGTCATTACAGGGGTATAAATGGAAGCATGTTCTGGGCCTAAAAAGCCCTTTATACTTGTAAAATCTGATTGCTGCCCTGTTAACAGACCTGTCCCGCTTGTCTATGGCTTCTCCTACCTGTCTGTGCAGCTCCATTTTTAATTAACGTTACACAATGATTAAAGTTTGGCTTAATTATCTTTATCTTTTTCCTCTCAGGGTGTTCAAGTCTCCGTGGGAAACTGAATGAGACGCTTCGTAAAAGACGTTGGGGGAAAAAAATCACAGCTCAGGGAAGGCTTTTTGAGCTAGAGAGAGATATTAGACCGTGCTGGGGGGAAAAAAAGAGAAAAGGAGTGATTGACACCTGCCCTCCAGCCTGGTGTGAAGGGCACAGCATGGGAGAGTGAGAGGAGGGGAACGACAGGAAAGAAAACACCGGAGAGAATGAAGACAACCAGAAAACAAGACCTGCCTTATTACACACCTCGCTCAAATTAGAACGTCTCGCTACATGACAAGATGATTGCAAGAACTTTAGTTTTATTGGTTATCCTGTCTCTGTGGGAGGGGCTTTTGGGAGGCACCTCTGCCAGTAAGATTGTACGCAGGAGAGGAGTGGGCGGATCACACTTGGTGAAGCTAGGGGACAGCAGATCTGCAGACCAATGGGATAAGGGCGAGGATTCAAATGCAACGCCTATGGTGACTCTAAGAAACCTGGTCAATCACGAACAGGCGAGTGCTGCTGGGTCACTGGCTTACTCCAAGAGTCATCCTTCATCAGTATCCAACAAGGAGAGGCAGTCTTTCAAACCCAAGCGTGAGGTGGATTCTGTCAGTAAAAAAGACATGACTCCATACATATTATCCAGCAACAAACCTTTATACCAGGATGTGAAAAAAGTTAGGAACAACACAAAAAGTGTTGAGACTTCCAGTTCTGGAAGGTCAGAGAAAACTTTCACGATCCACCATAAGTCGGAACTGCACTCCAATAAAACCAGGTTTAAATCAAGCTTTAAATCCAGGAACAAACCTGATCTGAGTGTCCACACCACAGGTACGCCCGGGAGAGGGTTAAGCTTAGATTCAAACCGAAAGCTAAATCTCACCGGTAGTTATGGAGTGCTTAAGCTCCTGTCAAAAGAAAACTTAGTGAGGATTGTCAATTCCCAAATGCAGAGAGTTCCCGGCCTCAGCTTCCCAAGCAAGGGCACCCGGAGCAGGAAGAGAGATTTGATTGACGTTAATCACGGACAGTTAGAGACTCAGAAGGAGCAAAGACAAGATATGGCTGCCACTCAAGCTCACGTTGGATTTGATAATCAGACCGCATTTCCTTATGCAAGCACAGTCACCAGCCAAGATCTTAAACAGGACCAGGGCGTTGATGCCCGTATTAATCCGCCAAGTGAAGCCAAACCAGCTTTGAGCAAAGGGCAGTATAACTCCGACGGTGGTGATAACAAGAGCAAACATCTTGTCCATTTTCTGTCAACACCCCACAGCGAGGTCAGCCTCAGTCCTGCAAAAGAAGCGACGCTCAGCCAAACAGAACCCCCATTTACATCGACAAAACATCTACCAGTGTATGCTCTTCCYGAAACAAATGATCCTCCTCCATCTGTGCTGACAATGCAACCCCTGGGAGCAAGGCTGGGGAACAGAGCAGCAGATTCCCACAGAGACCCATTAACAGAGTCAGCTCACACTGCTCAAACAGAACTCAGCACAGCTCAGTATCTCACAGATGAAGACTACAAACTTGTCAACAGCAGTCATGTCCTGAGGCTCCACCCGGCTCCCAAATGGAGCCACGGCGCAAAAGACACCGAGATGCAAGCTGTCGATTCAGAGAATGGAAAGGGACTTGTGTTTGAAGAGGCAGAGTCTGAGGGGGAAGAGTATGCGCCTGACCCGACGGAGGGAAGGGGGCCACGCTCTCGTAGCAGGAGGAGCTGGATCTGGAACCAGTTCTTCGTGATAGAAGAATACGCAGGGCCTGAACCTGTGCTCATTGGACGGGTAAGGAAAACATATATATATTTTCTCTATTTACAATACAGAAGCTGTGAACACTTTTATGAATATTTTATGAACATTTCAGACAGTTTTGTATGTCTTTTTATATGGGTTATTTAACCTCAGCTTTCCAAMTGTTACACTTCTTATATAGGAGATGATTAGCATAATTTAACCCCACAGTCACGCTCCAAGTTTTCACTGTATTGTTATAACCCTGCAATTGGAATTGATTTACACTCCTACAGTGTGATGTGATGCCTTCCAGGGAGTCGTAAAAATTTCAATGAATCAGTAGTCTACCGAGGCTCAGCAAAAGCCGCAGATCTCGTCTGCCCAAGAGGCTAGTCATGATCACTACCAATCTGCACCCACCAATGGGAATTGACACATCCTGTAGAATTAATAGCTTCACTTTTTTCTACCACCATTGATCCCTTCCCCAGGGCAGACAGCCAGAGTGGTCATGAATGTTCCCTCATTTTCCTGTAGGTCAGACCTGTCGGATCTCCTCCCTCTTGGTCTGCGAGGCCTTACTTATGATATTTTCCTCCCCAGACTGATTTACACTCAATTTGACAGCATTTATCACTGTGTTCCTTCTCAATACAACACGCACAGGGCTACGGTCCCACAGCCCTGTGCACTGCGATTTATTACGCTCATTGACCAGGCGTGCCTCACCCCCTGGTCCCCACCCCCCAGCACACACTCCCTCCTCATTTAAAAGAGTTACGAGTATGGAGGAGGTCACGTCAGCTGGACAGAAGGTGTCTCGAAGCCTGGCGCTTTAATGCCTGYGCTCTCCGTCCCCGGCATGCGCCAACTGTCTCAGAACCCAGCTGGGGTAGATGAGCTAATTTATAAGCCTGTGTGGCCAGTTTGCTGAGCAAATGAATAGTAATGATCCCTGCGTGAGTGCTGCAGGAAACTGCAGAGAGAGAGAGAGAGAGAGAGAGAGAGAGAGAGAGAGAGAGAGAGAGAG